TTTTTTTTTTTGTTAATGTTAAGTAGGAATCAGTTGGTCAATAATGGGCACAGTCAGTATAGGCAATAAACAAACAAGAGTTGATCGTACTATCAACGACAATTATACAAGCAAGAATATTCGGAAAGAGGTTAATATATTTAGTATAAAATTTATTTATTTATATTTGTGTGTCAAAAATAATAGTTGGCTCTTTATGTTTGGTCTCTTTTTCTTAATGTTTGGCTCTTTTAAGAGAAAAACTTTGATGTTAAAGGTTTTAAATAGAAATGGGAAATTTTCAATAATGTTTGTAGTTTATAATGAATATATCTTGATGTACACAAATTTGTAAAATTGGTTTAACCGTGGGAAATAATTAAATGAATAAATAAATACATAACGCTAGTATTAATTACATTTGTTAAGTGAGGGAAAATAATTTCTTGAATTATACGAAACATCCTTTTTATATACCATCATATTAAAAGAATGCATGTAGTCCGTGCTTAGAGACTTTGAGTGTGGTGATATTTGTCCTAAAGTTCAGGGTTTGAATTTTGCTAATCTGAAATATATTTTGGTCACCGGCCAAAATCGTCTCCTATTGGAGATACCCCTTCAAAAAGGGTCATACGATTTTGTTTATCCATGGTAAAACTAATAAAAACGGCTGTTTATAAAGACAGTCAATAAAGTGTCCCTAATGACAGTAGAAGGGTAGCGTCTGTTGCCATGGTAACCTCTCCGCCGTCTACAGTGATTCGATCATACAAACCACCTTGCTAGGAAATGAAATGTGACTTCTTTTGAATAAGGAAGTTGTTTCTGGAAACAAATTTTCCTTCAAAGGTAATAACTTTCGTATGGTCACTATAACGTTGATTTCTTACTGCTTAGAATTACGTATGGGAATATGGGATACAACGTGTACCTTTAACTAGATTAAGAATGAGTTTAAAGCCAACAATTTGGTGTTGAGAAAAGGAGCATCCTTCGAACCTGCCGACTTGATCGGCTAAAGATTTGTCCTGATAAACCGAAGTACTCAAAGGCATTATGTGACTTTTTATGTCTGAATTATCAACTTTATGTTATGAAATTAAATACTGTATTACTTAATATCGGTAAAACGTCATAATGATAGTGTTTAATTTAATAAGATATAATAAGGTTCTATGTTCGGCATATCACAACCAGTTAAAACATTATTAAAAGCTGCCACTTATTTAGGGATAGTAATGGTTTTAAAAAACGACAAATTTAAGCGATGTCCTAAAAGGTGAGCTACAGGTAGGAAGATGATCCCAACTTTGAATTGACCACCTCCGCCAATACCAAGATTGAACTGTCTACATTAACCTTGGAAGCCTACCATCAAGATGAAGAAAAGCTCTACGACTAGACTACTTGACACTCTTACAAGCAACCGACCTTCAACTGACCTTGGGTCAAGCTATGATCTCAGCAATGTGACACAACAGGTGTTATAGTATCCTCCCAACATCTCAAGGAACAACCACGCTCGTGCGTGTGTGTATGTGTGTGTATTGCGTGTAGGAGTGTGTGAACTAACCGTGGGTCGGTCGCGTGACTTGACCATAAACAAATCTGCATGCAATCTTGTCCATTAGTTTATCGTAAGGTAAAACAGCTGTTGGGGTGAGAGCGGAAGACACACTTTGCAAACGTTTAAATCTCTCGTCCTATTATCGAAAGGCTTATTCAGTAAGTGACGTTTGCAAAATGTGTCTTGCTCTCAGTCAGAGGTAATTGAAGCTGTAAAATACTCTTCTGATCAATGCATCTGCGTTATTTTAAAAAATGATCAATTTGGTTTTTATTAAGGACTACAATTGAAATTTGCCTTATGAAAATATAAGTGATGTAGATGAAAATTTGTTAATTTATACCAAAATAAAACAGTCAGCATTGCGTTTTACATTGCGGTGTATTATATGGTAATTTGGGGCTTATACGTTATTGGCCCCTGAAATTTATTGTGTTGAAATTTAATACATTAGTTAACCAAATAAACGTGATGAAACTTATCGTGGTGTAGAAACCTATTAGGTTCAAAACTGTGAAGACTTTTCTGCTTTTGTAACACCTTTACCCTGAACACCTGCTTGTACCCCACACAAATAAAATGTTTTGGTCACCTTAGTTTCGTAATGTTTTACATGTTTGATTTAAAGACTGTTCTGCGACACTTATACTACTAATGAGGATTTTTTACAAGTGGACATTATTTTTATATACTTTTGTCATAGCCTGGACTTGAATTTTTTAAACATTGACTAGCTTATGTGGGTTTCGATCCGAAGGGTCGTGGGTTATGATATAAAGTATTAGAACAAAAGAAAGTTGCTGACTTTATTATGAGCACATACTACATACTGTAGTTAAACATCACTGCTAATATACTCTGTATGATTTAACCTATCTTCTGATTGGCTCTACCTCTACCTCTACTGGCCAATGGTTTAAGGCACGGACTAGTTCCTGGTAGACGAAGGGACAAGAGAGAGGTTCCATCATACAGACTGTAGTAGGATTATTCAGATCTCAAGGACAAAAGCCTTTAGTCGAGCCTCAATTCTCCTACTGTTTGATGTAAATAATCGTAATTTAAAATAAAACAACCTTGAACCCTGCATATTAAATATTATAATATTTAAAAGCAACTTAACCTTTTAGATTGACTTCTGGATATTTTAGCACCATAATCATATCACCTGTGCAGTGCAGTCCTTGCTCCAGGCTAGACCTTGCGTCTTATTATGTCCGGTAGCCTACGCGGTTACGGGCCTTTATAACAAGGCCCCGGGGCTAGGGTGTGATACTGGTAATGAAGGTATAATAGATCTATAACATAAGTTGCTATCTTTATTGTGACTAATCCCTTTAATACTAGAAAATCTCACAACAATTCACTGAATAAAATACTTCTAAAATATTTTAGCTAGACTAGCTATCTTGAATGTTATACCATCTACAAAACAATAAGAACTGTTATCATTTCTATACAGGATGGTAAAAAACCCCTGACAGTTAAATTTATTAAAAAATAATCAAGATAGAGTTACAAAACTTAGTACAAAGTTACTCAGCATTAAAATCATGTTAACACATTATTCAGTGATACGCTATCACTGGGGGGCGGCCCACTATGAGTCAGGAGAAAATCTTTAATGTAAGCTTAAGTTGATACGTACATCAAATTAAAGGTCTTTACTAGTAGAATGCAATGCCGTAAATTTAAACCAAGTCGAAAATTGTCAGGCATTAAGAGCTGTACTTCCATTATGTGTCAACCCACCCTTTCTGATGAAACCTCTAAAGTAAGCAAACTGCATTACTGTACAACGATACAGGTTAAATGATATCCTCATGGCGGGCTTCAGTACGGTAGAATGGCGACTGCAAGATTATCATTTGTCAACGCACAACTCAATGGTATAATAAAGCCTTAGATGTTCTTCAGTACAATAATAAGCATTACTATACATTAATTAGTTAAATGTAATTTTCATCGTAATTTCTATGTACACAACTAACTTAATGCCCTCAGATCTTTTTTAATATATGCATCTTTGTTTTTATGAAATCGTGGTTATATAGTGTTAGTTTGTGAAAAGATGTTCAATTTTATTTTAAAGAAATTAATTTATTGTTTAAGAACTGTTATGTTAGATTTAGTTTTAGACGTGCCAATCCGGCAGACGACCGAGAGGTTATTGCTGTAGCGCGTAGGCACGTTCCCTGCATGGGACAATCTTGTAATTTGTATTGAGGATTTTGGAAATAATGCTCTTTTTCATTTCATCTGATGTTGCGTTAAAAAATACGGTACACATTAACACATAGTGGGGCAGCTGGTTGGTTATAGTGCCCGCCTAGCAAACAAAAGGTTGCCGGTTCTATCCTGAGAAATGTCAAAATTATTCTGGGGGTGAGTTTCTCGTTGATCAGTTGACTTATAATTAATGGTTTCTTGTTAAAGAAACAGGTGGTCAAATTTAGCAACAAGGCACAAGGCTTCATTTACAATGTTCAGTTAACTAACATAACCTAACATAGAGTGGTTGAAATTGCAGAAAAGTACCAAAAACCCCTTTTTTTTGTAATCAAAAATAAAAAATACTCCTGCTCTAACGTTTAAAACCTCAAAACGTAAAATAGTAGCCTACTAATTCGTTCCACAGTTTAGGTCACAATCTCTTTCTACTTCGAATAGGACATGTGTTTTCTTAATCAGCCGATCTCTGAGACTGTTAAGATGATAATCGGCAGCTCTTGTTCTGAAAGTTTTGATAGTGTCATAACTCTTGTTAGTATGCTAAATGGCTCCGTTGATAGTATCGACAAGGGAAATGAAAGTTATTACCCTGGAATACTCGTCTTGAACTTGTTAAAAATTTTAAACTTAATTTGCACTATTATTAAGTTTAATTGCTGATAGTTACCTTCTTGATGAAAAGAGAAAGTACTCATAGTGCATAATATCCCACAAACGTAACGTTCGCATACTAAACATATCTTTTTAGTGATTTTATTGTCAGAACGCTAGAAGAACGGTTATATATCTGTATATTATTTACCTTAAATGTCAGCACACTCTTCCTGGACTTTTGGGCTAACTTTTCCTCACTCTCCAAACCCAGATTTTACCAGGGTATTTTTTAATAGTACAATGTATATTTTAGTCACTCAGTTGCTTACAAAGTTGTGTTTCTATGTCACAAGTATGTCGCTGATATCCCTGTCTCGTCGCAAGATGCCGGTGACTTTACCGAATAATTTAGTATTTTACATAGTACAATGTATCAAAATAAAAAAAAATCAGTCACTCAGTTTCTTACTCTGTGTCGCAGGTATCGCATGGAGTTTCCGCTTCCCGTGGCTGACATTGTTGTCTCATCGCCGATGCTGGTGACTCCACCGGAGATTTTACCAGAGTATTTTATATAGTACAACGTAATATATGAAGACACTCAGTTGCTTACTCTATGTCGCAGGTATCGCATGGAGTTTCCGCTTCCCGTCGCTGATATCGCTGTCTCGTCGCAAGATGCCGGTGACTGGGCCTCACCTAGACATTGTCCAATGGCTGACCATCCTGGACCTCACCCAGTACAGCCACCAGTTTGAGAGGTTCAGCGGCGTCGAGGTAAGCCAAAACAATTACGTCATTACAGTATGTATGTTTGTCTTCGTCATTGGCAATTGCTTTAGTTTTCTCTAAGCTGGACCAAAACCTTGGTCTTAGAGCAATTTTAATTTTTAAATATTTACAATTTAAAAACTAAAGTTTTTCCATTTACCTCTTGTTCAGTGTACTTTCAGTTTAAGGTAATTTCTTAGTACTATAGCGGTTGACTATAAAAGCCAAAAGTCAATTTACGAATAATTTCTTCATAAATCTATCTCCAAAGGAAAGTATTACCTGATTCATACTAAAGAAATCAAGGATTTCCCTGCAATTTTCCAATGATTTCTCATGACGCATACTAGGTATGCAACAGGAAAACAACATTCAGAGTTAAGTGTAGTGATGTCAATACCTGTTGAATCCCACTATTTTGGTTGAAAATCCACTGTTGGTTGAAATACACTATTTTTTCCTACAGTCAAATAACCACTTAGATCTCTATTGAGTTTTTTAATATAATTAGTCACAATAATACCTAACAATTGAGATTTTAATTGAAACTTAATAAAGGTTGTAAGTGTACAATCTAACTACTAATTAAGTTTTTTAATTTTACTTGGCAGGTTCAACTAGTGTACATATAATTTAAAAAAATATTTATTGATCGAGAAGTATTTTTCAATCAGTATCACAATCTAACTATCCGAGGCTAGTATGACAAAATTGTTATTCTTGTTTGAACATTGATTTTTCCAAAATACTTTTCTAAACTTAATTCCCAACCGACTACATCATATTTTTTATTGGTCTACATCATAGATTATAGGTATTCTTCAGCTTAGCCATACAATACGGTATTCAATTAGCTAAATTTAGTGCATGATTCTAATAACCGGTCTTGTAGGTTATGTAACTTGAAAACTTTATAACAATTTGAGTTGCAGGACCTTTAACCTTTACTTCAAAGGGTTTTAGGTCACTTAAATTGTATAAGAAATATTTTTCTTGCATCCATACATACTTAACTGCATTGATTTTTGTAAATACATCCTTAACTGCGTGTATTTTGGATAATACACCCTTGACTGTGTGGATTTTTGACCATGCATCCTTCATTGTGTAGATTTTTGTTAATACATCCTTAACTGCGTGGGTTTTTGATAATACATCCCTAACTTTGTGGATTTTTGTTAACAAATCCCTAACTGTGTGGATTTTTCAGCCAACTCTTTGAAATAAGCCAATTTTCAGTCTTCACTCTATGGTAGCAAATCTATGGAAAAAAACAAATTTAAAATCTTTGATTCGAACGAAAATTTGATTAAGTGTAAAACGTGGCTTTAGAAATTCCCCTCCCCCTCACACACACACACACTTCTATATACACTGCGTCTACTACGTGAGAGTCAAGACGAATCACCAGAACTCTCGTTTTACTTTTCTCTTTTCCTTTCAGTGTTTTCATAATGTCTAATGGAATTAAAGCAATAACCAAAAATAGTATCTTTTGAAACAAGTTAATCGATGTATTACAATAATTGTTTTACAAATTAAAGTAGTGTGCTAATAGTAGTTAACGATCAATCAATTACCTAAATCAATTACAAAAACAAGTAATGAATTGTAATAAAATTAATGGACTGTAATAAATATTATGATAAATACTACAGTAATAAGCCTAACATTACTAATAAATGTAACTAACAAGTCGTGAAGATGCAGAACAAATAAGATATAGTTTGAAGATTAGGTGATATTCTCAACACATAATTCATTGTAACAATTTTTATTTATTTATTTTTTTAAGTAAATTAGGTATTTATGAAATATATATATATATAAATGTAATGTGAAATGTGGGTAAAGATTCTTTAATGCTGCGATGATATAATAAGTATAAAACAAAATCATATCGATAGCAAAAAAATTTCACAGGTTCGTTTAAACACTATGTATTAAATGTGAAACATAAAAATGACTTCTGATATTTTATATGCAAAAATCTATTAATTGCATAGAGGATTCAGCCCGTATTTTTCATAAGCGCCTGCTTATAAAATGGTAATCTGTTTAAGGTATTGAAAATAAACTTGAACAGCCAACTGTGACTTTTTTCTAATTATAAAATTGTCTCAACCTAGAACATTTTTTATTCTTCTTTAATTATAAAACTGGTCAGTATCAGAAACTCGTGGATTAAGAAGTGATTTTAAGCTAATAAAGGCTAAACATGCTATTATTTTTTGTATTTAACTACTAAACGTTAAAAATATACTTATTTCCACTTATTTGGTTTCCACCATATGGCCATGTTTCCACCATGTTTGCAAAACAAATACACGCTGTTCTGTTGTTAACTTTCTATTCATTGTTTATCGAATAACAATGAACACACTATCATGAATAACTATCAAACATAACCTCAAACTAGACAACAACAATTACTAAACACAACTCCCAACAGCTGTGGTATTACAGCTGTGTATGGTACCAACTGCTAAAATTAAAAAAAAAATTGCAAGTGTCAACTGACTTATGGGCCACCCAGTATTTTGTCAATTTTCAATTAAGGAATAGAGTCATTAAATTAATTTTAAACTGCCTGTTTCAATTTTATAAGATACTTGCAGCACCTCTAAATGAGAAAGCCATTTTACACCTAAGCTCTGTAATTTCAAAGAAAGCTATTGGAATTCCGTGCTCACCGCTATTTTAGTTCTCAGCTTCTACAGACACGTGATCATCAAGCCGAATTGCCTTTCGCAGACTTTCATTTTAGTGTTTCTCTTCCGAAGAAAAGAATTTTTCTCAAGTTGGTAGAATCTTAAAAACTACATATCTGGTATTTGCACCCCAGATAACCTATAATGAATATTGTAGGTGTTACGTTTATCGCACACATCGTGTACATTCATTACATTATCTTGTATTTGTATCTCAGATAGCCTATGATAAATATTTTAAATGTTACGTTTATCGCACACATCGTGTACATTCATTACATTTGTACTCTTTGGTGTAAAGTTTTTAGAGTTTCTAAGTGGGAATAATTAAGTGTTTTCTGGTTTACGGTTTTGAACTTATGGGTGACTTTTAACAAAGCAATATTTCTATCGATGATAAGTTATCTTTATAGACCTAATTTTCGGTTTACCCATTGACCTAACTACCTTATGTACCGAAAATTAGATACACGTGATCAAATATACTATTTACAAGGCACTTTTGTTTATATTATAAGGCACAAATGGCATAATTTGATACATGCATTGTCGCGTTGATAGCTACATAAAACACATCACATATCAAACGATACAACCACAATGTAGTGGTTTAGCTGTCTTTGACCAAAACTCTGCAAAGTATAACTTTCACTGGTTGTAAAACTTTTGTATCAAACAGTTGTGGTTTCAATGCAAAATGCAGAATACAATGTTTAACCATTTAGTAACCTACTGTTTAAGGAGTTTTCGTTATACTATAATTAAATACCACTTTTTGACAGATTTTTTTATGTAGACATTGCAATGTTACTTAACTGTGCCTATATGTACCTCTAAAGTCGATACAGTATACTAATTAAACTAATTAATTTAATTGTTTTCACTTGAATGAAATGAAATCGTATTAATTCAGGGTGTACATACGTCTAATAGAATTGTTTTTTAATAGTTTTTGTTTTTGATTTGTATCAAATATTTTTGTAATTAATATAGAACAAATTCCTACAATAGAAACTTATGTTTTGAATTCGTATTTAGTAATAATAATATTGAATTTTAACATTGTTTACTGTAGTTTAAAAGAGTAGATGGTTCCGAATCAATTCGTAGATAGTTCATTTTACAAATCACCACCTTATTAATTTAATAAGCTACATTTTTTATTTCTTCTCTTTCTTATATTAACAAATTTAACAATCAGTGTTCGACTTAATCACTGTCGAAACTCATTTATAATTGATATAAAACAAATTTCAATTCCACATCTGTTTTTTTATTGTTTAATTAAAACTTTTATGACTTTCATTGAAAGTAACACTTAAGTGTATTTTTCTATTAGTACATTTGTTCAATTTGTTTTCTATACTTATTTATTCGTTTACAAATCACTAATACATTATTAATGGCACTCAATTAATCCAAAGGTATTTAGTAATTAAAGTCCAATTCCAAGTCTAGACAGTTCAAAGAGACTTGGGAACAAAGGTGGGTTTAATTATTGCAGGAATTAAACGAGTTAGCGGAATTGCTCGAGAGTTCACTCATTAAAGCTGAGTTATGTCTGTAGCGACAACCTTTATGTTATTTAAAATTTAAAATTACTATAATTATTATTATTTTTAAGGAACGTTAAAGTTTCAGACACTATAAATTTGTGGTAGACATTTGTAGTCATTTGTAGGTCCCTGTATTAGTTAAATGTATACTTCATAATTTGTTAACTAACCCTTAGATAAATAATCATACTCAGTAGTAAATAAATAAATAAAATAATTAAATTTATCACAGTATGATTATTTTCATCATTTCGCATAGTGAACTATTATTTTGGTTTAGATTAAAATTTAGTTTGTCATGGTGATTTTAACTCTACACAAAATGGTACTACTTCCAATTCTGGAAGAATCAAGGTTTTTAAGCTACTGCAACTTTTGTGATTTTCCCCATAAAATATCATAGTTATTCCCACCACTTACCAAGAGTTGTTGACAAGCAAATGGTAAATAATACGTGTCAGATTGCGGATAGAGTTTATTTTTTGACAAAACCAATATCGAATTTGAGTATCTTATTGAAAATGAATGTATTTTTTGTTCTAGGAGCTCCTGAGGTTCTCCGAGGCAGACATCAAGGATCTGGGAGTCAAGAACTCTTCCCACAGAGCTAGGATGGTCTCCAGCCTCGTGGCACTCAGAACCAAATATGAGAAAGGTCAGGATTTATTGAATACTAGGTGTACAATGCAGTTATCTGCTTGCAATATTGAGCGAAGTAAGCACATTAATACATTAATCATACGAAGTCAAAGCTGCATAGTTTTTACTTGAAGTCAAACATGATGTCTACTTGCAGTATCGAAAGTTCCTATAAATGGAATGCCTATTTGCAGTATCCAAAGTCAATTGAATATTTGGCTCAATGGAATGCCTTTTGTGCAATATCCAAAGTGAATGGTACGTCTGGTTCAAGTAAATGGAATGTCTGCTTGCAGAATCCAAAGTCAATGGTGTTTTTGGTTCACATAAATTTAATGCTGCAAATTTTGCAGTATCCAAAATTAATGGCAAGTCTGGTTCAAGTAAATTGAATGCCTATTTGCAGTATTTAATGGTAATTTTGCTAAGTCTATTTGAAGTAAATTATGCTACTACAGGAAATGTTACAAAGTGTGTTTATAGCTTAGGTAGTATGAAATCGAAAGAATTACCAAATTTGATCAAGAATATCCATTAGGCTAACAAGTTTTACTACAACCGTTTACTTTTCCTCCATAAAAATAACATGGGCATTTTGATGGTAATTTAAATGTTCAGTATTTTTGAAATTTTCACCGTATCCTTTAATCCTACAATAACGATTAGTTTACATAATTATTTGTTTTTTCATGCTCTATACGATGGTTGTAATCAAAATAAAGAATTTTAATGTTTTTAAAGAGAAAATTGGAACATTTTTAATTATTTTAAACCATATAACACTTTTTTTCATATGACGCTATCTTGCTATTCGCGAACTCGTTCAAGTGTATACAGCCCTACATGTTAATGCCAAATTTCACTATGAAATTTCAACGAATCGTGTTGTTGCTTCTTTTGTGGCTTCTGGGGACTTCAAAATGAAAAAGTAAATCGGGCCCGGGTCCTACCGTGCCACCTACGTATCCAATAGGTACTTCCAAATAGGAAGATTCGTTAAAAGAACCCTACTTTAACGACCCATGTCACGACACACTTGATTAAAATAATCTGTAAATACAAACTCGCCTGATATAACAAACCCGGACACCCAGTCTCCCTCCAAAATTCAATACCGATCTCCCTCCAAAATGCCAGCTTAACGCTCCAGATTCGAACGTGTGCTATCTCTGTGGAGAGCGGGCTGCGCGACGTATTATCATAAAGCGTAGGTCCGATTAGGATTGAACCGCACGCCCCAACCGCCATAAACTAAGTGGTCGATGGGTGGACAAGCTTCGGCGTCATGGACTGCATCCCTCCCACATAGACTATGTGGTTTGGCGAGGAGTGTACCACACTCAACATCGATTGATTCCCTTAGACATGTGTGGAGAATTTTTGTATTTATTTTGCAATTTTTAGGGATAAATCCAACACAAATACAACTTGTGGCAAATGTGAAATCAAAAATAGTCATGTATTGGTAGTGCTCAGGGGTGTGCCGATTTTTTAAATAGATAGATATTTCTAATACACAAAATGCTGCCCCCCGGACAACAACGTGCCCAAGCTGGTTCCTACGTCATGTTGACTTCAGAGATTGGGGGGGGGGGGGCAGTTTTCCAGTCACGGACACTCCACTCAAGTTTCATTGTCATACTGTTCTAAACTAACTAACCTAACCTAGCCAACCAAACTTGGTGTAACATTTCAATATTCGGTATGATATTCCCCACATGCCTTTCCGGTTATCAAACGGAATTACTACTGCTAAAATTTCAATTACATAGCATCACATTTTGTTAGGGTTTGGGGGGAGGGGTATTTTTCCAGTCGCGGACACGGCTATTGGTTAGTTGGCAGATTTCGTGACGTCACGTTTCACCTAGCGGGTGGTTTTCCGGGGGCTAGTATTCCGCATCCCCTTCCACAGTTCTAGAGCGGCAATGGAGTACTTTTCGCTGTTAAAACACAATTGTTCATTATTGTGCTCTTTATATAAACAAGCATCCAATGCCTTATCTTCTAAGAAATTTTGTTTTGCTAGAGATCGTAACGAGTCGTATATTACAATTTCAAATACAATTCCAAGTTATCCATTTTCAAAGGACTCACCTCAGACATAATAACTACAATTTAAAGGGTTATTAGTAGATATTTTCTACAATTTGCACCTGATATTCGTTGCTACTTGAAACCGCAGAGAAGTTCTACTTCTTGACTTGGTTCCTTTCTTCCCGAGATGTCGTAGCAAAAGCTTCCACCTTCCACCGCACTCGATTCTGGGTCATCCTCTTTTTTAGCTCATTCCTTCTTCCTTGATGTTATCTGTAGCCTACGGATATTCTTCAAGTAATCCTTGGTCCGTCTCTCCTTCTGTTTCCCTGATGGTTCCATTCAAGGGCTTGCCTGGCAATGTTGTCACTTGGTTTTCTGAAGGTGTAGCCTGTCCAACCACACTTTTTCCTTTATTTTGCTCTTCTCAAAACCTCTTCGTTTGTGGCCAACTTACTTTATGGCCAATATACGTTGAGTATTTGACTGAGACATTTATTGACGGACACATATATTTCGTGTGGTACAGCTTATGTGACCTTCCATGTTTGGCATGAAAAAGAACAGTTTTCATGTTGTTTGTTTTGTTGTGAACTGATGTTCTTGAAATGATTATTTGATAGAAAAAATGTAGATTAAATTAAAAACACTGTGATGTGAACAAAAGAATGTGTATTATTATTGAAAACTGTTTTACAAAAATTAATAATGATTAATAACATGTGTTAATAACAAAAGTACAAGAGAAAAATGTGTATACAGACCAAGGGATAAAATTAAATGATTTTAACATAACTCCCCCGCAAAAAAGTGATTTAGTGGGAACTTTTTAACAACTTGTTGATTGGTCCAACAAAACTTGTTCCATTGTCATCTAAAAATAGATTTAAACTTGAAAGTTTACTGTTGGGATTCACACATTTCTTCTTCTGCAAACATAATATTTCTTCAGCAAAATGAATTTTTTGAATTTGTTTGACAATACATAGAAGAGCATTGACTAATTCATTTGGGGTAATTGGTCCATTTTGTAAAGGCTGTTTGAGATTGTTTATACATCTTTGGCAATAAGCAGTAACTCTGATGGCTTTGGTGTATGAACTAAATTTTAAATACCACTCATCAGAACTCTCTTCCATAAGTAAAGCACATTTGACGGATCTTCTTTCAGGTACATATGGATTTTCATTATGAATAGGTTCACTCATATTCATGTTCTTATCCAACAGACATGAAGGTCCAAACCACCACAAATCCTGATTGATAAAATTGTTTCCTAAGACACCTGTAGATGCTAGGTCAGCAGGATTATCTTCTGAACAAATGTGATTCCAATCTGATGTGTTGGTGAGGGATTGAATTTGTGACACTCTGCTGCTTACAAATGTTTTCCATGTGTTTGGGGGTTTTGAAATCCATGCCATCACAACTGTAGAGTCAGTAAATAAATAAGTGTTTGAGGTAGGTAAAATTGGTTTTACTTTGTCAACTAGTTGAGCTAATAGCACTGCGCCACATAACTCCAGCCTGGGGATTGAAACTTTCTTAAGTTGACATACTCTTGACTTAGCACAGATCAATTGAACTTGTACATTTGATGTTGAAACACTTCTGAGGTATAAGACTGCAGCGTATACCTTTTCTGAAGCATCGCAAAAACCAAATAATTCGTGGATAACTTCAGACCCAAATAAAACTAATGGTCTGGGTGTCTGAAGATTCTTGAGGTGTGACAAATTGTTACAATATTGAACAAATTCATTAGATACTTCATCAGAAACTGTCTCATCCCAACCATTATTGCATAACCAGGTTTTTTGCATGATGAGTTTTGCTTTGGTTATTACTGGACACAATAGACCTAATGGATCGATTAGACGGGCAATTTCAGATAAAATTTTACGTTTAGTTATTTTGCTTGGTAAGTCAGGTAAATTAATTGAATACTGATAAGTATCACTTTCGGGATTCCACAGAAGTCCTAACAGTTTGACTGAAGAGTCTTCTGATTGAAATTGAAAAATGGTTTGACTTGGTGTTATTTCATCTAGAACTTCTTTGGCGTTAGATGACCACTTGCGCAATGGAAGCCCTGCTTGATTTAGTGTTTGAACTAGTTCATTTTTTATGGATAAAGCTTGATCTACAGTATTGGCTCCACTTACAAGATCGTCAACATAAAAGTCTTCTTTCAATATCCTAGCCAATTCAGGAGAATAATCCTTAATGTGGTCAGATAGTTGATGTAAACAACGTATGGATAAGAATGGTGCGCATGATGTTCCATAAGTAACTGTGTTAAGGTCATAAGACTTAATCGGTTCTTCTGGTGATGATCTCCAAAGTATTCTTTGATAGCATTGATCAGATTTGCTCACTAAAATTTGCCTGTAAAACTTCTCAATGTCTGCCGTAAATACAATTTTATGCAATCGAAATCTAATTAGCAAATTCATTATGTCAGTTTGAAGTTTTGGACCAGTATACAGATGATCATTCAATGATGTACCTGATGTTGTTTTGCATGATGCATCAAAAACAACTCTGGTTTTAGTTGTTGAACTCGAATCTCTATATACTGCATGATGAGGTAGATAGTAGTGTTTGTTACTGTCAATGGACGATAATTCTGTGGGTGTTTGATGCATGTGACCTAAATCACTGTATTCTTTCATGAAAGACTGATAACTTTCATGTTTGTCAGAAGTGAGTGTCGATTCTAAACCTTTAAATCTGCTTAATGCTGTTGAATAAGAATCACCAAGCTCAGTAATTGATGGTTTAAAAGGAAGACAAACACAAAATCTTCCAGATTCATCTCGAGAATGTGTGGTCAGAAAACGATTTTCACAAATGTCATTATCTTGCAGTTGAGAAGTAGGTTCATGACTGACCTCTTCTATCTTCCAAAAACGCTCTACTGCAGTGTTTATGTCATTGTTTTGAATAGATAATCTGAATGAATGAATACCTTCAGAT